CCCCATGCACACTAGTTGGCCATTGGTACCTAGCCCCTGCCGTTGTGTTCCGTTCTCTCCAGCGCCACATCTCTGCTGCAAATTATTGTCACTTTCAGAGTTTCACGAAGAAGATCGGCAGCCGCCACAGTCACATAGGGAGAGGAGCCTCACGACTTGATCTCACATTATGTCGAGTGTCAACGTGGATCTTGCCTCTGTGAGACACGACGTGGAGCATAAGAGCTCCTTGCTGACAAGAAGAACCTCACTAACAAAACTCTGGTGACAACAAGCGAATGAAACTCTTGACAGCATTCTTATCAAATCTACGATATGTTATATGCGCAACAACGAGCTTCAATCTTGCCACACTGATCTTTGATTTGTAATCATGTCGGCGCCAATTCTATTCCACGCCATTCAAATCTGATCAAAGTTGGGGAAGGAGATTCGGATCTCCGCCCATAGATGTAGCTGATTGATTGTGTATTTTTTTTTTCTTTGTTTATGTGTGGTTGTTTTTTTTTGTGATTTTTTTCTTTTTGGTAAAGTATCCCGGCGGCAACGATGCAACCAATAATGGTGGCAACGGGCCAATATCACAACAAGACAATAGTGTTGCGGTTGAATTTGACCAGTATCATGATCGAATATCAATATCTAGATGGATATCGGCCAACATCTTAAGGGCATATTGAATAGAAACACCAATATGTTTAGAAAATATTGAATTAGAACCACAATAGAATTATGATTCATAAGTAATTCCGCAATGAGAATCAAATACTAAAATTGTTGGCCATATATGAGAATTACCTTAATCCTGAGTGATTTTTCAATAAATGAGACCAATTTTACTGATCAAAAACCCGATAAGTAGGAGATATAATATTATAGATAGTTAGGAATGTTCAAAATAGGATATCGAATTTATTTCTCAAACCTCATTTATAATTTGTTCTCGAATAGATCACTGATTAGAGAATTAGCGGAAATCGTGGATAAATAAGTAATGAAAGAGGGTTTTTTTTTTTTTTTTTTTCTGGGAATGAGGCAAAGGGTGGTTCGGCCTTCCAAGGACAAAAGGGTAGAAATCAAGAGTATTTATATGAAAGGGTAGAATGTGCAATTTTCTCGAAGAGCAAGTATTCTTCACTCCTGTTTAGTAACATGATATATGATTTAGGATGCAGAACACAATTCAAATCTCCAAATCTGTTTTTAGGTAGAGATTTAAACTAGATGATTAGCATTTTTTTTTATTGATTTCCCTTATTTTTATTTTGTAGAGTTATATGATTTTATGCATTTAATTTAATATATCTATAGTACTGTTTGGTTTTGTAATGACCCTATAAATTGGCTACAATTCACAAATTCAGAATGGATTGATTATTGAGTGTAGAATTCTCAATATTATTATCCTTCTCGATCTCTCCTCATCCCTCTATCTCAATTTTTTTTTCTTTTTTGTTTTTTTTTTTTGTCTAAATTTCTTCCACTTCCTCTTCTTTCTCTTATCTCTACTATTTCCTTCTCTAATTCTACATCAAGAAGACTACTCATATAACAGGAAAGAACATATACTCAAACGTGCAGCATTGCCTCGTCAACAATGGATAATAGATCATTCCTATGATGCTCACTGGCGGATGATCACCTTGGAAACATTTCTGTTACAAAGTCCGCAACATTTGACTGTGTTGGATCCTCGAAACGATTCGCTGATTGCTTCCCTTTCTCTGCCTGTGAAGATGACGTCTCCTCCGAACTAGCACCACCGAAGTGCCTTGCGCCGTGTGCTCTGTACACTCCAGGCTTGGTAAGCGCCTTGTCATTCAGCTGAACTTGTTTCGAAAGCATCTCCACTACTTGCTTCATCGTGGGTCTTTGGTGTGCAGCTGCTTGTGTACAAAAGAGCGCAACTTTAATGAAGCGTGTTACCTCATCCTCCGGAACTTTGGTCAACTCTGGGTCAACAACATCCAGAAGTCTTCCTTCTTCTCTTAGTTTCCATGTCTGAAAATGCGTTGATTTTACTATCAGAAGGGGGGGAAAAATCTCTTTTATATATCATGTAAAAGAATTTGCTCTAACTTGCAATGAAACCTGATGGTTGAAGGAATAAGGAATTACCCCCACCAGTTTGGTCTGTTATTATGTTCATACTAATTATAGGTTTCTTTTACTCAACAGAAAAGAAACGAAAAAAAAAAAAAAAAGGAACCAACATATCATTTGAATACGGAACATAATTGATTAACATGAAAGTTTTAGAGGACAATCAAAATTAGCGGCCAAGTATTTTGTAATCGAGTATACTAAAGCCATTATCATGTTTTCTAAGAAACAACATGGCACTACAGGAAGTTCCTCCAAAGACCAATAAGTAAAAGATTTATCTACGCTGTAGCTGCATTGCGTAAAGCTAAAATACTAAGAAAATTTGGCTGAGATCATAGTGATAAGTATTTACGAAACATACCCATTCCACCAAAACCAGCAATTCTTCTCCAAATGCTGCTTTGCTGCTACTACTTCCACTTATTATTTCAAGCATCAGCACCCCAAAACTGTACACATCAGCTTTCTTCGTAAGCTGTCCTAAGAGTGCATATTCTGGGGCGAGATAACCTCTTCAAGCATATGAATAATTCATAAATGCAAAGTAGAGGAGAAAAGAAAAGAAAAGAAAAATAATCACTATAATTCTATGCGCATGTATATAACACCTAAACCATGTTATAATTGTGTTGTTATTAGAAATTTTCTATCAGATGAATAACCGACTGCATAATTTCATAGCAAATTTCAAAACAAGCTTCTACTCGGTTGATTCAAATTTCAACACAAGGATCCCAAAATCATATTTCCAGATCACTTTCAGAGAAGGTAAATAACTCAAGCAAGAGAAGACAAATTCAAGTTTAAAGTTCAAGCTTACACAGTTCCTGCCACTCGAGTACTAACATGGGTGACGTTGTCTGGAAAAAGTTTTGCAAGCCCAAAATCTCCAATTTTAGGGAGAAAATTTCCGTCAAGAAGTATATTGCTAGCCTTAATATCTCTATGCACAATATTGGGTTCGACTTCCTCATGAAGGAATGCAAGACCAATAGCGGTTTCCACACAAATCACAGATCTTTTTGGCCAATCCAGAAAAATATATTTGCTTTTTGAACCTGTAAAAAGGATTTCAGTGTCAGCATGCCTAGAACACTTGATCAATTAAATACTACATTTTAACAGTCAGAGGGCAGCTATTTAAAGAAATCAACTCATCTGTAAACAATCATCATATTTAAGTATTGGATTGTATACAATAGGCCTCTAGTAGTTTTAGGACTGTATATAATAGGCCCTGTTTTAGCTCCTTCAGACTTTACAAGTGTTTCACAGAACTTATAAATTCAACAGAAAACCTCACTAACTGGGTCATTACCAAGCAAAGAATTTGCAAGACTGTTGTTCTCCAGATATTCATATACCAATATCCGATGATCTCCCTCAACACAGCATCCAATTAGCTTAACGAGGTTCGGATGCCGTGTGTTGGATATCATGTTAATCTCTGTCAGAAACTCATCTGTGCCTTGTTTAGATCCCGCAGAAAGAGACTTGACAGCAACTTGAGTACCATCTCTAAGGACCCCCTGCAGAGTTTGTAATAGCAAGCCAATACAAGGATTAGTTAGGGAAGCAAAAATGAGTACCCAAAAATTATTGCGTGAATACTAAATGTCTCACCCTATGGACAACTCCATAACCCCCTCCACCAATTTTATTCGACGGATGGAAGTCCATTGTTGCTGATCTCAATGAATTATAGGAAAAGAGCCTTGCATTACTGGTGCCAATCCCTAAACATGCACAAAAGAAATAAACAAATGTCCTCATTCTTCATATGTGCTTTTAAAGTGGCAGCACACATCCAGCCAGACAATGTCATATTGGTTGTACACTTTCTGACTTGCATTGTATCTATTTCCCTTTTTCCTTGTTCTTTCTTAGTTGAATAAATGGTCAAAGACTTTAAATATACAATAGGAAAGACTATTTTAGTTCTGGCTAGTGTCTAGTGGCTCGTTTATCAATCAATAATCGTATGAGGGTTATCCATAATGGAGTTTGATGTAGTGTGGAAGCGAGAAAGACGCACATGTACAAAGGGGATACAACCTTCCTAAAACTTGTTGATTCACAGAGAATACCAAACAACACCGCATCTACAAGCCCGTTGTTTGACTTGTTTTCCTCACAAATCCCAAGAGAATAGGGATAGAAACAAAACTCGTTGCTTACAGTTATAGGAGTACTGAGAATTGCACTCCAAAATATTAGAGTAAAACCTCTGAATGACTTATTGACCAAAATCCTTAAAACATCTTAACATAAAGTGTCCTCTTTATAGGAACCAACACCTAAAGCAAATGTGATACAAAAGCAAATATATATCCTAAAGCAAAGATATCCTAAATTTAAAATCCTTGTAATCCAAAGTTAATTAACAAAAGATAATCTTGATAATAATTCCAATATATACAATGATTAGCCCCAAAATATTTTCTGTTATTTCACTGCATCAGATTCTCAAATGATTTTCAAATCCCAGCCAGATTAAAAGCATTATGGACACAAAGATGCAAGTAAAAACCATCAAAAATGCTATTATGCTATTGACACAACCACACAAAAAAAAAAAAACACACACACACACACACACAAGTAAAAACCATCAAAAAATGCTATTGGCACAACCAACCCAAGTCTGATCTTCGGAAAAAGCTTTTGTTGCTTCAAAACTTCTCACATCTGATATCACTTTTATCAAATAAAAAAAAAAAAAAAGAAAGAAACCAACTACTTATTTAGATATCATCCGTGTCATACGAATTTGAGTAAAATATAACCACAACTAAATCAAGAAAGTTAGACAATTGTAGATCTTACCTGGAGTCTCAAGTTGAGAGGAATCATTCTTCCCTTTACGCCAATTCAGAGCACCAAAACAAGCACAACCCATTTCTCCACACAATTTGGACTAAACCCAAAACTGCATTTCTTCTTCAACCTACAACATTAAACAAAATTAACAAAAAAATAATAATAATTAAACTACTCAATTGGGCAAATAAATTTCAGAACCCAGAAACCAAAACTCAAAATTCAAGAAGAAAACGGAATTGATAACTATTACAGGCTTAAAATACCTGTATTTAAAAGCGGGTTTTATGTGATGAAACCCAAAAAGCTGTGAAATACCAAAACCTTTCTGAAAGCGTGAATGAAAAGAGTGAAACACTTGAGTAATGGAGGGACCTAAATGCATCGTTGAAATTATATGAAGTGGAAGAAAGACGACCAAGTACAATACTAGTATAATTATTATCATTTATGTCTATCAATATTCAATATCAAAAGAAAGAAAGAAAGTTGTCGCGTCAGATTTCTAGAGTTTCGTAATCCCACAAGGTCAAGAGTCCAAAATATTGTGCAAAAGTGATAGGGGTTTCGTATTTGTTTTGACAGCGACTTTCTTTTTTTTTTTTTTTCCTTCCGAAAATAAACCAGTTCTTCCAAAAACTGAAATAATTCTCACGCTTTTTTATATATAAAGAAAAATAGAACTCTTTTTGGAGGAAAAAAAAACTTAATAAAAACTGGGGAATATTTACCATTTTATAATTTTATTTTTGGATATATTCAAAAATTATATCATTGACTTTTAATCTCATCAAATATATATCTTTAAATTAAATTTAATATATAAATCTATACTTTTTTAAATTTCAGAGTCAACTCTTAATTTTAACCTTAAAAATACCCTAAAATAAAAATGATAAATGAAAAAAAAAGTTAAACTTATAGTTTTACCTAAAAATATACAAAATACCCTTGAAATGGGTTTTTGTGTTTTTTATTTTTTTTGTAATATTAAAATGTTTTAATTTTCTTTTTTCATATTTTTTAAGGATAGTTTAGTCATTTTAAAGGTTAAATTAATTGTTTATCGAGATAAAATATAGATTTGTACGTTAAATTTAATTTGAGGGTATACATTTAATGATATCAAAAACTGAAAGTATAATTTTCTAATAAAACCAAAATACAAAGTGTAAAAATATAAATATCCCTAAAAATTATCATCCACATGAGATGTAAAGAGCAAAACCTAAAGAAATAGGTTTCTATAGAAAAAAAAATCAGCAAATAGGTTAATTATTTAGATTATAATTTAGAAAATCATATTTGGAAAACCATATTATTCAGATTATAATTATTCAAATAGGTTAATTATTCAGATTACAATTATTCAGCAAATAGGTTAATTATTCAGATTATAATTTGGAAAACCATATTAAAAAGATAATTTTATGTAGTATGTGATAATTTTTTTGAGATAAAATAATTTTGATACCCTGTGTTATAGAGAAATATACTCTTAGTACCTTGTCTTTTTATAGTAATTAAACGGTACCTTAACATTTTTAAAAACATCTTCTTAATACCTTAAAGTTGATTTTTTATATATGTATGTCCAAACTACTCTTCTTATTAATTAAATAGAAATCAATATTTAAAAAAAATGAAAAAATAAAACATTAAAATAGTTAAAAAAATAATAAAATAAAAAAGTTCGTGATTTTTTGTTCTAAATTTATTAGTTTTTAGTTAATTAAATAGAATGACACTAAGGTCATTTTACGTCTCAAAAAATAGATTTAAGGTTTTAAGAAGAGTTTTTAAAAACGTCGATATATTATTTTAATATTATAAAAAAACACAGAGTATTAAAAACATATTTCGCTATAACATAAAATACTAAAATGATTTTATCTCCTTTTTTATGAAACCAAAAAGGGAATCTCATGTTTAAGCGAACCTCACTTTTTAAAGAAAGGAATACCGAAGACTCATTTCTGATAAGTTTTGCTTTTGTTTTTTAGTAATAGAAGAAGAAAAGTATAAGTCAATATTTTAATTATTGTTTGAATAGATTTTTTTTTTTTAAAACTTTGTGATATGTTTGGTTAAAACCAAAATTTTTATTATTATAGAAAGTAAACGTTATTATAGGGATATGTATGAAATATTTTTTGATTTGTTATTCACGAATAAAAATAAAAAAAAATATAAATCAACACTTTTTAATAAATTTGTTTTTCATAAACACTAAAGAGTTGGCTTATTTTAAAATAATTTGTAAATGTCAAAAACTTTTGAGTGTGTCCCATTCAAACGAGTTTAAAAGTAGTTTTTAAAGTAAATAAACTAAAAAGCAACTTTTTTATGCCATTCCAAATAGGTTGTAGCATGTGAATCATGAATACATTTAACCTATAGTAGTAATTAATGTAATTTTTTTGACAATAATTAATTAAAATAAAAAATAAAAGTTCATTTTTCTACCCTTGGTATTAGAAAATCAATCAACTGTTACTGAACGTTATTCTTTTTAAGGGTGTGTTTATTTCACGACTCAAATTAAGAATTTGAGTTGTGTATGTGAGAAAAAAAAATACTGTAGTAAAAACATTGAATTTAAATTTTTATGAGGAAAAATACTGTCGCAATAAAACTTAAGTTATGAAAAAATAACGCCCAAAATTATTACACTTTATTTAAAAAAGATAAATGTATTATTATTTCTTTAAATGGGAAATATACTAATAACATGAAGAGCTTATACAAATACTAGTTCACACCCACATTGCCTTTTATTAGAAGAAGCACAACACTAATAATTAACTAGTGCCACTTGTAAACTCGAATAAAATGTTCTAAAAGTAGGTACATACCGGGCTCCACATATGAACACCTAATATTGAGCACCTACGTAAGCCTTTAAAAAATCCTTTACCATCTATAGAAATATTCAATCAACCAATGTCGAGAATCCATAGCACAAAGGCTATAAAAAAAAAAACTGCCAAGAAACCAATCTAGCTGGTGAAAAAACACTGACCATACATGACAAACGCACAAACAAGTCAGGATAAAAACAGCGTTATAACCAACATGACGCAAACTAATTAAAAAAGGGAACAAACAAATAAATTTTAATATAAATATGACGATTGAAAAATAAAAAACTATTAATAATCTATTTTTCAGATAAATTACAAAAATAAATGAGAGACTTCCGTTTGGTTTATGGATTCAAATCATGTAATTTAAATTATTTTTGATTTACGTGTATTTTTTATGAGAGAAAATACTATAACGAATCACGAATCATTATTCGAATCAGAGAGTGAATCTAGGAACCAAACGGACCTATATTCTTCAATTTAGGGAAGTCAAGAAGTCATTTTCTCAAAAAAAAAAAAAAAAAAGAAAAGAAAAGAAAAAGGGGAAATAAAGAAAAGAACTGATTTGCCAAGGACAGAATAATTACAGCAAAAAAACAAAAAGAAAAGGACAGAATAAAATCTTGCAAACTGAGCTCAACTACTCAACAAGAACGTGTCAATCTTAACAAAAACGTATTAATGACGGTGGCAGCTTATGTAACTTGAGGTGTCGGCTGATAAATTTTGGATCCATTTCTTTTTTCCATTCTTTTTAAAAAATATTAAATGCGTTTTGAATTAATTTTTAAAAATATTTTCACACATATTTTAAAATAGAAAAATAAAAACGGTTTATAAATAATAAAAATTTTAAAAATAAAAATAAAAATAGAAAATAACGATAATAATTTTTATAAAAAAATTAGAAAATAATTAAAATTTATTTTTTCTTTTTCATTTTTATTTTCTAATACTTATCAACAATATTATATTTGATAATTAATTATTAATTACTAATTACGTAATACATTAATTAATAATTAATCAATAAATAATAATAACTTAATTATTTGTTAAATATTAATTTATTATTATTAAGATTTAAATTTTTTAATTAAAATAAATAGTAAATAGTAAATAGTAATTAACCACTTAGCTAAAGATTAATTGCAAAACATTGATTATGATATATTAAGAATCAATACTTAATAATAAGTTATTAAATAAATAATTAATAAGTAATATGTCAATCATATAACAAAATTTAGAATATAAGGTGTAACAGTAAAATATGAGTTTAGTTTTTCCTTTCTTACAGTGATTGTTATTTGTTAGATTGAACATAGTGAAATGAACATGTTATTGTTTTTTGTTACTTTTAAAATGCCAATTTTAATGATGATGTGTAAAACATTATTTTGTTAAAAAATATGGTATAACGGTCTAAACTGCAATTTAACCAGACCAAATCGTTTTGAAATAGTTTGGTCCCGTCCAGTATCATGTTACAAACAGTCTGATCCGGTTTGAATTTTTTCAAACCGTTAAAAATGATCTGGTCTAAAATAGGACCGAGTCATATTATAAACAACCCTACTCTAACACTCCTTAACTCTATCTTGGATTCTTATAAAATTTTGTGGTGAGCTTTATGATTATTATGTGTTTTATGATTTTCTCATCACAATAAAGGAGATTTGGATATCCTAAACTCACGCATCACCCGCGAAATTATCGCACGAGGGTAAATTTTTCCCAAAATATTAATTGGAGCAAAACTTAGTGAATTAAATTCCGGATGAAATTTCTAATATCGGATTCTTAATCGGAGCATTGAAATTAATCAAGAGTAGAGTTTTTATAAAGATTCTATTTCGGGGCTAAATTTGTAATTTTACCAAAATACGGAATCGAAACGTAATTTTTTAAAAATATGGGACCCAAAATGCGATTATAAAAATATGTGAGTCAAAACATAAAAGCTAAAGGAGTTTCTAAAAGTTTCTAATTTGTTGTTTGAGAGTTGCCATATACCACAACCAATAGAAATTTAATTAGGTTAAAAAGTAAAATTAAAAAAAAAAACAAAGAAGATTGCATATCAATTATTTCCCAAAGTTTAGACATATTCTACTCTCTCTCACTCCCTCTCTTACTCTTTCTCTCAGAAAAACAAACGAATCCCATAACTATGTAGAGGAGCTATAGAAAACCCACCAAAAATATTCAAAATTCCAATTTTCCGTCAAAATTTTTCTCTCAACTCAGAGTACTAACATCCCCCTTTGATTTTCTTGAGTTAGAGATGATTTTTGAGCCCTTCAAACTCTCAAATATTTGGTTCAAGCCCAATCTGAGAATAGAAGATTGTAAATCTATTTTCGCAAATTGTCCTTACCAAAACTTATTCATTGATCAATTATTTTAGTGGGTGAGTTCTAATACATTTTTGAATGATTTTACATGATATTTAATTTCTCCAAATCCACTATTCCAGCCAAACATGTTTCTC